ATGTTAAAGGATAGGATTGTTGAGGTTCTAAAATCATATGGATTTCAAGATCAGAGAGACAACATGGGTTTACTTCAGGGAGGTCATGCCAAACTAATCTTATTTTTTTAAATGGGTAACTAAAATTACCTGTCATGATTACTAGTTGATCCAGCACATATTACCCGGCCTTAGAATGGCCGGACTTAACGAACCAAAGAATAGTCAGGATACTTGCCGAAGTCAGGGGACACAGAACGTGACACAATGATAAGGGAAAGGCAGACATCAGGGATACCAGAATACAGGGAAGTCAAACAAAGCCAAAGTCAAAAACCAGAAAATAAACGCTCAAGAACACACTCTCGGACAACCACTAGGGAAACCATGACAGGGCAATGAGAAAGTAATTTTGGGCTTAAATAAGTGCTTTACATTTCTGATTGGCCTTTGACCCCAAAACGTGCGCGTGCGTCTACTGCTTGACGTCCCGCACACGCCGACGTCATCACCAATGTGGGCAGACGTGAGGGTATAATTTGGCGTGGATCAGCAGCAGTCGGCGTCCATTAACATGTTGCAAAAGTCATTAGTACAGACGAATGGCCACTGGGTGCAAATACCGCAAGGTGAGGAAGAATATGTTATATTACCCCCCACCTAAAGGACCAGGCTTGAGAAAAAGCAAAAATTTTGCAAACAGCATGTATGTCAGATGCTGGAACCCAAGAACGTTTAGCAGATCCTTACCCCCTCTAATCAACCAAATACTGTAAGGTGCCATGAGAAAACCTGGAATAAATTATGGCGGAGACCTCATACTCCTCCTGTCCAGAAACAACCAACGGAGGAGGGGGAACACTAGGGACCGTATATCTATTACAGAGAAGAGGTTTGAGCAAGGAGACATGAAAGGTGTTGGGAATATGCAAAGAGGCAGGAAGTGCCAGAAAATAAGAAACCGGATTAATTTTCCTAATGATACAGAACGGGCCAAGGAATCTGGGGGCAAGCTTCATACTAGGAACTTTCAGCTTAACGTTGCGCGATGATAACCACACCCTCTCACCTACTTGGTAAACAGGGTTGGCACCCCGCCGTTTATCAGCGTAATACTTGAAACGATCAGCCGCAGTTTCCATAGTGGAGTGAACCTTGGTCCATGTATTACGGATAGAAGCAAGGTGATCATCCAAAGCAGACCAATTATCTTGAGTGCTATTAACAAAACAACGCAAGTATAATTCCAGAGTATGCTTAGCACTCTCAGCCGTGCCATTGGTCTGGGGATGGTATGAGGAAGAAAATGACAATTCAATGCCCAACTGTTTATTGAAGGCCCTCCAAAATCGAGACACAAACTGAAAACCTCTGTCAGAGACAATATTGTGAGGGATGCAATATAATCGGACAATTTTAAGTATGAAAATAAGCACTAGGTCTTGGGAGGAAGGACATTTTTTGAGTGGGACAAAACAAACTATCTGTGAAAATCGGTCAACCACCATAAGGATAGTGGTATATCCATTAGAACTAGGAAGTTCCACGATGAAATCCATGGACAAATGGGACCATGGAACACTGGGTACGGGAAGTGGATGTAATAATCCACACGGAAGTTTATGAGGTACTTTGGAAACTGCACACACAGAATAGGCCTGCACATATTCAGTAACGTCTTTCCTGAGAGAATCCCACCAAAAAGATCTCATGATCGCGGATATGGATTTATTAATGCCCGGGTGTCCAGTAGTCACGTTGTTGTTGAACACCTTTATGACATTTTCCCTTTCCCCCAATGGAACAAATTATTTATCCAACGGTTTATTGCAAGGCGCCTGAGACTGAGCCTCTATGATGGTGCCAAGCAGAGGGGAGGATAAGGAAAGGACAGTGGAAACGATACACTCAGGTGGAATAATAGGGGATGTTTCTTGTCCCTGGACCGATTCAGTATCAAACTGTCTGCATAAGGCATTCGCCTTTACGTTTTTGGGACCAGGTCTGTAAGTAATTAGAAAGTTAAAGCAAGAAAGGAACAGAGACCATCTAGCCTGTCTAGAAGATAGTCGTTTAGCATCCCCAATATAGGCCAAATTCTTATGGTAGGTAATGATCAAAAGGGCATCCTTGGAACCCTCTAAAAGACGTTGCCACTCCTTATGTGCAAGTATAATGGACAACAATTCCCTATTGCCAATGTCATAATTGGATTCGGCAGGAGACAACTTTCTAGAGAAGTAACCACATGGATGTAAAGGGATATCATGAAAATGAAAACAAATAGAAACAACCTCGAGGAACAGCCTCGAGGAATGCTCGAGGACCGCCCAACGGGCGGGAAGCCAAAGGCTTCAAAGGAAACCGCACATGAAAGGAGCGGATCAAAGAGGGCGCATTCAAGTTAGAGGCAGAAACCCAAGACCGCTCCTCAGGGCCATAACCCTCCCAATCTACCAGATACTGCAACCGTACCCGAGAAAAACGAGAATCAAGCAGAGCAGCCACTTCGTACATGTCACTGGAGACAGCGCGGAGGGAATCCGGACGCCTGAGAGGACCAGAGAATCGATTACAGAGCAGGAGCTTCAAAAGGGAGGTGTGAAAAGTGTTAGGTATACGCATGGAAGGAGGCAAGGCCAGGGAGTAGGACACAGGATTGACCTTACACAATACCTTATAGGGGCCAAGGAACATGGGTGCGAATTTCATCGAGGGGACCCTAAAGCAGAGATTCTTAGAGGACAACCAAACCCTATCACCAGGGACACAAGAAGGAGCAGCACCCCTACGACGATCAGCAAATCTCTTCTGAGTAGCAGTCGCACGAGAAAGAGTAGCATGGATCTGATCCCACATCTTCCGTAAGGAGGTGAGGTGCTCGTCCAAAGCGGGTATTCGCTTGTCGGAGAACACGCCGGGAAGGACAAAGGGTTGGAACCCATAAGCAACCATAAAAGGACTTAAGCCAGTGGACAAATGAGTCACGGTGTTCCTGGCGAATTCAGCCCAGGGAAGGAGGTGAGACCAGTTGTCCTGGTGCACATTCTTGAAGCAGCGTAAATATAACTCTACAGATTGATTTTCTCATTCGGCGGCTCCATTAGATTGTGGATGATAGGAGGACGTAAATGACAGCACAAAAGCCCCTCCAAAACCGAGAGACAAATTGAGGACCCCTGTCGCATACGATATCCTGTGGTATACCATGCAAGCGGAACACCTCTTTGGCAAATACTTGAGCCAACTGAACCGCAGGTAGTTTCTTAAGTGGAATAAAGTGTGCCATTTTAGAGAACCTATCGGTCACAGTCAAAATAACTAACTGTCTGTCCACCAGATGAAGGAAGATCTACAATGAAGTCCATGGACAAGTGGGTCCATGGTTTCTTGGGCACGGATAGAGGCATTAGGAGTCCCGGGGGTTTAACATTAGGGGACTTACACTGTGCGCAAACACGACAAGCCTGCACATAATCCACTACGTCTTGCTTAAGTGAGGGCCACCAAAACTGTTGAAGGAGACTCTTGTATGTTTTAGTAACCCCTGGGTGACCAGCCGTTTTGGCGGTGTGAAATAAAGCTAACAATTTCTTTCTATCTTTTTCTTTCACGTATAATCTACCAACAGGTGTCTCAGAGGGTGCTTTGGTTTGCTATGTCTTGATACCATCAAGGAAAAGAGACGAAATAACCAAACGGGTAGCAGCTATTATCTTAGATGTAGGTACAATGGGTTCAGGAGCAGGGGCAATTGACTCCAAAGGTTCGTATTGTCTGGAGATAGCATCAGCCTTGACATTACGGTACCCAGGCCTATATGTGATAATGATCTGAAAGCGTGAAAGAAATAAGGACCATCTGGCTTGACGAGAGGACAACCTTTTAGCATCTGCTATATAGGAGAGATTCTTATGATCAGTAATAACCAGGATTTTGTGTCTAGCTCCTTCTAATAAGTACCTCCATTCTTTAAAAGCCATCACAATAGCTAATAGGTCCCTGTTCCCGACGTCGTAATTCTTTTCCGAATCAGACAGCTTTTTAGAAAAGTAACAACAGGGATGGAGGGGTTCGTTATACGATAGTCTTTGTGATAATACAGCTCCTACACCTGATTCTGAACAAAACTACTTCCATAAAAAAGGGAAGGGAAGGATCAGGATGGTGTAGCACAGGGGCAGTGGCAAATGACTTTTTGAGAGTCTCGAAGGCTTTAACGGCTTCAGGAGTCCAAACCTTGGGGTGCAAACCCTTTTTAGTCAGTTTCGTGATAGGAGAAATGGCTGATGAAAAGTTTTTAATAAACCTGCGATAATAATTGGTAAAGCCTATAAATCGCTGTATTGCCTTAAGGCCTTGAGGAAGAGGCCAAGACAATATGGCTTCTAATTTTGAAGGATCCATGCTGAATCCCTGTTCAGAAATGATGTACCCTAGGAATTGTACTGATTTTTAGTCAAATAAACATTTCTCCAATTTACAATAAAGACCGTTCTGCAGCAATCTCTTAAGTACCATCCTTACATGGGCATGATGTGACTCTAAATCAGGAGAATATACAAGTATATCATTGAGATAAACCACGGCACAGACATGCAGTAAATCTCTAAGGACATCATTTATGAGGTCCTGAAAGACAGCAGGAGCATTACACAGTCCAAAAGGCATGACTAGATACTCGTAATGCCCACTGCGTGTATTGAACGCTGTCTTCCATTCATCATTCTCTTTTATACGAACCAAGTTATAAGCTCCCCTGAGGTCTAGTTTAGTATAATATCTAGAACCTTTAACACAGTCAAACAACTCAGTAATGAGAGGGATAGGATAAGCGTTTTTAACTGTTATATTATTCAGGCCCCTGTAGTCTATACATGGCCTCAAATCGCCCTCTTTCTTGGCAACAAAAAAGAAACCAGCACCAGCTGGAGAGGAGGACCTTCTGATAAAACCTTTACGTAAGGATTCCTGTATGTACTCCTCCATGACCCGGTTTTCTTTCTCAGAAAGTGGTTAGACCTTACCCCTAGGAGGTATAGTACCAGGTAACAGGTTTATGGCACAATCATAATCCCGGTGTGGGGGTAGTTTATCAGCTTCCCTTTTTTCAAAGACCAATGCGAGGTCTGCATACACAGGAGGGACAGAAACAGAAAGTGGTTTAGCTGTAGGCACATTAAGTAAGCAAACGGGACGTAAACGGGCCATACAGTCTTGTTGACAAGATTCCCCCCAGGAGAGTATATCTAGATAACCCCAATCAAGTACCGGGTTATGCTTAACTAACCAGGGAAAGCCCAGAACGATGGAAGCTGTAGAGGAGTCAATTATTTGAAAGGTTAACCTTTCCTTGTGTAAGGCACCCACGGCCATAACCATTTCTTGGGTTTCATGGGTCACCAGAGGTTTATCAAGTGGTCTACCATCTATGGCCTCAACGGCCAAGGGTGTGGCCTTTTGGATCAGATTCAAGGCTGCGGTTTTTACAAAGTTCTCATCCATAAAGTTGTCTGCAGCCCCTGAATCGATCAAGGCTTTAGTTGTTATAGTGGTTTGATTGACCAAAAGAGTAACCGTAATAAATGGTCTGGAGATGGACACATGAGGGGGAAAAACCATAACACCCGAGGCCGACCCCTCTCTAGGCCTTAGGTGCTGAAGTTTCCCTGCAAACTAGTACAGTTTCTTCGGAGATGCCCCCTCTTTCCACAATAAAGGCACAAGCCCTCCATTCTGCGGTTCGTTCTTTCAGCTTCAGTTAAGCCTACAGCACCTAATTGCATGGGTTTGGGAGGTGGTTGATTAGGGGGAGGTAATGCTAGTAATGCAGTACTGGGTAAAGCAGGTAACCCCTGTGTATTCATCCTTCTTTGACTACGCCTCTCTCTAATACGGTTGTCAATAAGAATGATATAATCTATTACATCATCCAGAAGAACAGGCAATTCCCTGGATGCTATTTCATCTAATATGTAAGCGGCCAAACCCTCCTGAAAGGCTGTTACGAGGGTGTCGTTATTCCAAACCACTTCAGCTGCCAGAGTGCGGAATTCAGTGGTATAATCCGCTACAGATCTATTACCCTGTCGGACCCTAAGCAGAACTTTGCCAGCAGAAGCAACCCTGCCGGGTTGATCAAATGTACGTTTAAAAGCTGTCAAAAAGTCTGCAAAAGACATTAGGGACGTATACTCCCACATGGGATTAGCCCATGCTAGAGCTTTCCCGGACAAGTGGTTGATCAGAAAAGCAATTTTGGTTCTGTCAGTGGGGTAGGAATGAGGATTCATCACCAAATGAATATCAATTTGGTTGAGGAAACCACGGCACAACGCTGGATCACTGCTATAGCGCTGAGGTGGCGTCATATGCACCACGTAAGCAGGAGCAGGTACTGGATCAGGAATGGGTTCTGGCACAGCAGCAACAGCTTCTTGAACGGCAGGTTGCAAGTGGGCAATACGAGCCAGTATGGTTTGTAAAGCCTGGGCAAACTGATCCATACGGTGGTCTAAACCATCCATTCTAGCCTCCTGATTTACTAACAGCTGTGGAATGTCAGCAGGTTCCATGGTGGCCCTGTTGTAATGTCACGATTCTGGAACCTAACACGCTAACAGGACACAGAGAGGAAAGATGCTATACCGGTCCTTAGAGTGGCCGGACTAAGCACATTAAGAATAGTCAAGAGACAAGCCAAGTAAAGGGAGACAGAAAACGGGAGAACGAGAAACAAGCCGAGGTCAAAGGAGTGGACAAGACAGGATAATCGTAATAATGAGCCAAATAATCGGTAACCAGAAAGAAACACGATCAAACTGCAATACAGGTATCACAAGACCACAACAGGGCAATGAGAGACAGGAAAGGTAAGTATAAATACCCTTTGCTTAATTCTGATTGGATAACTTCCAATCAGAATTAACAATCACATGTGGGAGATATCTACGCCTCCCACTGTGATTGTGGTACTGTTGCTTTAATGCTGGGTCACGTGAGCGACCCCTGCGTTTGCATAAATTTGCGACCTCCCAGCGTGCAGCGTTATACATGCTGCCACTGGGAGGCGTGGAGGACGCAAGCGGCGAGCGGCGGAGAGGAGACTCCGCTCGCCGACCGCCAAGAGGAGGGGAGACCGCGACACCAGGACAGAGGTAAATCGCCATTTTAGATGAAACATAAAAAAGACATAAAATAAATAATTATACAACTACCGAACATATTCCATTCGTGCAACTTATCCCCAGAAAGCCTGGATCTGAGTGCATGTTCTTAGCGAATAGCGCTCAGATCCCATACGCACAGTTCAATCGCCATGGAGTCAAAGTCTTTTACAGTCTTTCGTTATGCGATTGACTCCATGGGAAGGCTATCTGGGTTAAGTCCATTCTTGTAGTCCAAACTCCCGAACGGCCGGTGTTCACATGCCTTTGTCGACTGAGAAGGGCGGTCTGTGGTTTTAGCGGTGTTTGGCAGAAAAAGTGTCAGGTTTTAGTTCCATAGAATCTGTGCCGAACACCGCTGATCTTTCGAATGGCCGCCGCCTCGTGGTCGACATACGAATGACGACCACCCTGTATTCTGTTGTAATTAAGAGGTGTCTGCGGTTAACCACAACGTTCTAATTGGGATCAAGAGGTTAACCAGCAGCACACTTCTCTTCTGGGTGGCCGTCCATTCGGTAGGTTCATTCGGTAAAAAAGTCAAATAAACGAACAGGGGCATACGGACAGGTAATTCCATGAAAAGAGGCAAAACAGATGAACCAGCAATCTTAGTCTATACAGGTGGATCTGTCACAGTACCAAACATGGGTTTTCTCACGCTATATTGCTATACATTGTCTAGACAGTTTATTCCACTAATAATATATATTATTATTATTTTTTCTTTAGTGTATTGTTTTGTCTTTGCACACATTTTTTTTTTTTTTTATCATTGTACTTGTAGTCAGTATTGTCTTTTAGTCCATTGTGGGACTTTTTTTATCTTATTGATTAAACATTAAGTTTTATATATTACATCAGGATTTTAAATCTGGATTTGTCCAGCTCCTTATTCATTTCTGTTCCCAGTTGCACCCTCCATTTCTTCTTTCTCTGTCTGTACAATTACACCGGGGTTAACCCCCACTAGGAGGAAATGCAATTTTAGGCTCTGTCAGCTCTTTTCTTTTCTTTCTTTCCAACAATATATTCACCTGTAGGGTTTAAATACCCGCTTTTTTCTTCCTTTGAGCCAATTGACTGTATTCTCCACCGTGAATACTCACATGTCGTCCGTACTAACAGACGTAATTAATCCTGTCATAAGCCCTGGGGACCTAAATAATGTATTTTCAGCAGAACCACACACCAACCCTGATACTAATGAGATAAAAAAATGTGTTTCTTTTCTATACAAAACCTGTACAAATCCCAAATTAAAGGTCATTGGGAAATAGAAAGTCTGCGTCAATACATTGAGAAAAAACTAGTCCCCAGAGGGTTAAGACCTGAAATTTCTACACCAGTCAAAGTAGACACTGACAACAAATTACAGAAATGGAACACCATTCTATTAGACTGCTCGTACAAATTGATGCAGTTCTTAAAAGAATTGGAACAAGAAGACTTCAATAAAGTTAATCAGAATTTACGAGAGGAGATAAACAAAGTGAAAATGTTTCACAATAATTCAGATTATCCCCTTATGGAGATTAAGTTACAAAACAACCTTGAAAATTTTAAAACCTTTATTAAGGATAAAAAACATCAAAAATTTGTAAGAGATCACAAAGATTTCAAAGAAAGAAATAGCTTTCGTACTAAAAAACAACACAGATCACGCTTTGGCAATAGACCAAGTTCAACAATTAGATGGGTCCGAGTCAGATTCTAGCTATACCAGCAATATAATAAGGAGTTCAAGGTCCTCATCACGTTCACAACAAGGCAGTAGAAGCATCCTAAGAGAACAGGATAAATCTGTGTCCTTCCTGGAAGCCCCACTCCGCTCTGCCCCTTCCACTTCTACTACCCCGTTGGTTTTTTTAGAACAAGAATGGCCGGTCCCACAAAGGGGCAGATTAAGAGACAGGGGAAAGTGGGGGTACAAACCAGAATGGAGCAACAAAAGGCAATAATTATTGCCAATGAGAATGATGAGGATAATAAAATAATTAATTTATCAGATTTTGTACTTTCTAAAGATCATATTTCCCTTCTGAAGAAAGGTCTATCTTTTTGTGCCCACCACAGGAGCCAATAGATTCGACTGGCTAAAAGATACCAATCTATTTGGCAGGAAATTGGCTCTATGCTCTCTGCATAAACAAAAAGAACATAAAGTATGCAAAGAAATAGGCATCTCCCTCACAGACCATCCCCATTTGCAATCTCTAGTGCAACTATTAGAGGGACAGGACAACATCCCACCTCTTACAGATCTGAAACCTCCCAGCTGGTACACTCCAAACTTTAAAGAAGTAACTAATGTTGATCTATTCGTTCAGATGACTACCAAAAGGATTTAAAAATTGAAAATACCTGAGTCACCGAAACACAATCTATCCTTTAATGAACAAAGCGCTCTACGGGAAGTAAGTGACAACAATAATCTTATCATCAAGCCATCCGATAAAGGAGGAAACGTGGTCCTCCTTAATCGGGATATGTACATCTCTATGTGCCTGGATCACCTTACTGACTCTTCGTGCTATGAGAAACTTCCCAAAGATCCCACCATAATATATTTGGAAGAACTTAAATAGATTGTAAATCAAGCTTTAGCGGGCAAGGTAATCACCAACGAGGAATTTAAATACATTCTGCCAAAATACACTCCAACTACTGCAACCTTCTATTGCCTCCCTAAAGTGCTCAAAAACAGACAAAAAACCTCCAGGGAGACCTATTGTGTCAGGCAATAGTTCTCTAACTGAAAATGCTAGCAGGATCATGGAAAAACTTCTACACCCGTATGTCATTAAGGTAGCATCTTATGTTCAAGATACTAAACAGGCACTGTTGATTTTGGAAGATCATATCGTCCCACCATACACTTTGCTGGCAAGCTTAGATGTGGTGTTCCTCTATAACAACATTCCCCATAAGATGGGTTTAAAAGTAACATCATCAGGCGGAGCCTAGCCACCAGAGAGAGAAGTCGCACGACACTGCAGCTCCGACCCAAAAGCGGACAAAATCGCAATTTTCAGGGTCACCCCCGGCCATAACGAGCCCCCGGACGTCGG